GTATGCGTCCTGGAATCGAGTCTTGATGGAACATAATTAGCTTTGAAGCGTGAAACACAGGGTGTATCTTCATGTCTTCTGGTAATTGCAGTTTGAACGATACGGTCCCGATCTTTTCGAGGATCTTGAATGGTTCATAGTTTTGAGTCGCCAGCTTCTGGCTTTTGACTTTTACATGGAGGTCTTTTCCTCGAATAAGCACTTCGTCTCCTACTTTGAAAGGGATGTCCTGCTTTTTAAGATCGAAATACCATTTCATACGTTCTGCTGCTAATGACAGAGCGGCACGTGCTTGTTCCTGTGCTTGGTCGCGGTTGTGGAATAAATGTTTCAGGGACGGATGTTGTATCCCTTCCAACACATCGAATGCCATGTGGGGGTGTCGACCATGCTCTATGAAGAACGGTGATAAACCTGTTGATTCTGAAGCTTGGTTGTTGTATGCGAATTCCGCCGTGGGCAATAATGTGGCCCAATCGGTTTGTCGGTAGTTGCAGTACATGTGCAGGTATTGCTCCAGAATCTGATTGACCCGTTCAGTTTGTCCGTCCATTTCAGGGTGATACGCTGTAGACATTGTCGACTTAATGTGAAGTTTCTGACAAAACTCCTGGAATAATTTGGCTGAGAACTGGGTGCCTCGATCAGATATGATCTGCCTAGGAATTCCATGGAGTTTGAACACTTCATTGTAGAAAATTGATGCTACTTGAGATGCTGTCACCGTGTCGTCTACGGCATAGTAGTGAGCGTGTTTGGTAAATCGGTCGACGACTACCAAAATTGCAGTCTTCTTTTCTCCCCTATGGTCTGGGCTTGGCGGTAGCTGTGTAATCAGGTCACAGGTAACCATTTCCCAAGGCCCTTGTGGTACTGGATTGGGTTGTAGCAGTCCATACGGTTTTTGCTTGCTCGTCTTGTTTCTTTGACAAGCCACACAGCCTTGGACGTACTTCTTGATATCAATGGTAAGCCCTGGCCACCAATAATTCCTGCTGATCAATTCTTGCGTTTTCCATCGTCCGGCGTGTCCGGCGGTGGAAATGTCGTGATGTAATTTAATCAGCTCATTCCGCAGCGTAGAGTCCTTCGGAACGTAGACCTTTCCTCTTCTGAGCAGCAATCCATGCTCGAAGTTCCACTCTTGGAGGTCTTTTCCGAACTCTCGCTTGCCAGTTTTTAGTAGGTGCTGGTAACCTTTGGTCATTTCGTTGTCTTGCAGTGCCGATTTCACTCTTTCTAGAAGTTTTGCATCGTCAACTTCGGAGGAATGAGTGGCTGAGATCGCATGGATGGCAAAATATTCGGGCCGAAGCAAAGTTTGCCCTGAATTGTCATTGCTCACCCCCTTCTCATGATCTGGCCTCCTGGACAGAGGATCGGCATGCATCATCGTTTTTCCGGGGCGGTGATGGAGAATAAAGTTAAATCTTGTAAGGTAAAGTGACCAACGTGCTTGTCGTCTGGTCAATGTTTGAGCTTGGCGGAAATAGGTAAGGTTGAGATGATCCGACCATATCTCAACCGGGTGAGGGTGTCCTTCGAAGTACTGCCGGTATTCTTCCAAAGCCCGAATGATGGCTAGCATTTCCTTGTCGTAGATCTCATAGTTGTGCTCGTGTTCATTGAGTGATTTGGAGTAATATGCGACAGGATGCCAAAGTTCATCTTCTCCCAACTGTTCAAGGACCACTCCTGTGGCGAAGTCCGAGGCATCCGTTTCTAATCTGAAGGGACGGACTGCGTTGGGGAGCGCTAGAATCGGGGCGGAAGTGAATGCAGTCTTGAGGGCCTCAAATGCCTTTTGTTGAGGTTCTTCTCATTTCCATGTTGCGTCCTTACGGGTTAATAGAGTCAAGGGTCGGGTCATCGATCCGAAATCCTTGATGAATCGTCGATAAAAGTTTGCCAGACCAAGGAATGCTTGTACTTGTTTTACCTTGGTAGGCACCAGCCATTTGAGCACGCCGTCGACCTTTTCTGAGTCCATTTGTATCGATCCTTTTGAGATTATGAGTCCGAGAAACTTGACGAAAGTGGTTGCGAAGTGACACTTTTCTGGTTTCACGAACAGGTCATTGTCTCTGAGTCATTGTAGGACCTTTTTGGTCAGACGATCGTGTTCCTCCTGATTATCCGTAAAGATGATGATGTCATCTATATAAACTGCCACCTTTCCAGTGCGAATGAGATCACCTAAGACGTCGTTCATCATGGCCTGGAAAGTGCTAGGAGCATTACAGAATCCGAAGTACATGACAGTGGGTTCAAATAATCCTCTATGGGTAATGAACGCTGCCTTGTCCTCATCTCCTTTGTGAAGGCGTACATTGTTATACCCCCATCTCAGGTCTAGTGTGGTAAATATGCTAGCCCTGGAGAGTCCGTCAATGAGATCGTTGATTCGCGGGAGTGGGAACTTGTTCTTCTTGGTGACACTGTTTAACGCCCTGTAGTCTTGAACAAGTCTAAGAGAGCCATCTTTCTTCTTGACGAAAAATACCGGAGTGGCGTAAGGGGATTTAGATGGCTGAATGTAGCCCTTGGCTTGTTCTCCGTCAATTCATTCGTCGAGCGAGTTCTTCTCTTGTAAAGACATAGGGTATACTTTTGCCGGTCTCGGGTTGCCGCGTCTGGGACAAGATCAATTGCATGATCATAGGGCTTACGCGTCGGCATTCTTTCTGAGCTCTTCTTCGAGAACACATCTCCGAATTGATGAAATTCTGGAGGGATGAACTTGGACCAATATTCTTTGTCCTGTGTCTCTTCTGCCGGCTTTTCTTCCAAATGCTCCTTTACCTTCTTGCTTATGCCTAGGATGTCGTGCACCATGTTACGAATATCCTGGTCTTGCAAGTCTATCCAGTTGATGAAGTTATCTTTCTGATCTCACCCATCATCCATGTGTACGTCGGGGAGAATTGCTTCATCTTCGAGCTGAGTGTTACGGTTTCAGTGCTTCATGGTCACGTGACAGTTTACGTTGCACGTG